ATGCACTAATAAGTGCACCAAAACAACAAAACATTTTTTCCCTATCATACTGATAGGGGGAAAAAAAAAAGAAAAAAAAAAAGAATGCCAAGTGTTGACCTGGCCATTTTGGTTCATTGGATAGTGTCAGCCTGGGGACTGAAGGGTCCTGGGTTCGAAGCCGGTCAAGGGCATTTGCCTTGGTTGCAGGCACATCCCCAGTGGGGGGTGTGCAGGAGGCAGCTGATTGATGTTTCTCTCTCTCAATGTTTCTAGCTCTCTATCCCTCTCCCTTCCTCTCTGAAAAAAAAAAAAAAATCAATAAAAATATATATTTTTTAAAAGCCCTGGTTGGTTTGGCTCAGTGGATAGAGCATGGGCCTGCGGACTGAAGGGTACCAGGGTTTATTCTGGCCAAGGGCACATGCCTGGGTTTCAGGCTCAATCCCCAGGAGGGGGCATGTGGGGGGCAGTTGATCAATGATTCTCATCATTGATGTTTCTCTCTTCCTCTCTAAAATCAATAATATATATATATATACACACACACACTTAAAAAAAAAAAATGCCAATACAGAAATTGACATTTCTCTCAAGCTGTTGGCAACAATGTATAGTATTAGTATAATCTTTTAATGATAATCTGTCACTTAAAATATAGTATATAACATTTCCCCAGCCAGCGTGGTTCAGGGGTTGAGCATTGACCTATGCACTAGAGGCGTCTTCAAACTGCGGCCCACAGAGGAGTCTGATCCGGCCCGCCAGGTTTTTTGGGCAGTGAGCGCAGCTGAGGTGTTACAGTAGGAATTAGTAGTTCATATAGTCCGGCCCTCCAGCTCTCTGAGGGACCGTGATCTGGCCCCCACTTTAAAAAGTTTGAGGACCCCTGCGACTAGAAGGTCATGGTTCGATTCCCAGTCAGGGCACATACTGAAATTTTGGGCTCTATCCCTAGTCATGTAGGAGGCAGCCAATCAATGATTCTCTCTCATCACTGATGTTCCCCTCTCTCCCTTTCCCTTCCTCTCTGAAATCAATATGTGTGTGTGTATATACATATACATATACATATATATACACACACACACATACACACATACCTATACATACACACACACACACACACACACACACATATATATATATATATATATATAGTACTCAAGGCCTGGTGCACTAAATTCATGCATGGTTAGGGTCCCTAAGCCTGGCTGGCTATCAGGCCAGCCAGGGCCTTCCTTCATTCTGTGCTCTATCCCTGGTGATCAATGCATGTCACAGCAAGAGCAATCAAACTCCCAGTTTCCTGGTGGAACTCCAGAGGGGATACTTGGCATATTAGCCTTTTATATATAGAGAGAAGAAAATATACCTTTTAATAAAGCAATTTTATTTTGGGAAATTAAGACAAGATATAAAGATGCTATATAAGATGGTCACTGCAGTTTATACAGTAAAAAAAAAAGACAAAAAAAACTATTCAAATAAGTAATCTCTACATTCATTAATATGGAAAAGTTATATTATGATATATCTGCATAAAATGTAAAACTTTTAGAAATAAGATAAATTTGTGCAATGTGCAATTGGGGGGATGAGAATAAACCAAAGAACTTATATGCATAGCCCATGGACACAGGCAATAGGATGTTGCAGACCTGAAGGGCTGGAGATGGGAGCAGGGAGGAGACTCACTAAATGCCTACTTTCTGCATACTCTCATTGGAAATCAAGCCAGGTACTCTGGACATGTGACCCGGCTGGGAATCGAACCAGTGACCTTATGGTGCATGGGATGACACTCAACCAACTAGGCCACACTGGCCAGAGCTAGAAAGCTGATATTTTAATATGTAAAATATAACCATGGCTACAAGTAAGTGATTAATAAACCCCATACTGTGATTTTAACAAAATAAGTAAAACTTAGAAGAGGTTGAGGAATAATTCTTTTTGGTTTCCTGAATGAATTCAAAACTGCATTGGCACTATTTTAGTACTTCTGGTTGGCTCAGGCTTTGGTTGAAAAGAGGGATTTATCTGTATTACCAGAAACAGCAATATACAGGCCAGAACAATCCCCAAAATAGAAGTTTCTTAGGAGAACTGAAAGAACAATAATCCTTCACCTGCAATTCTTATCAGAGAAAATTCATAATTAACAATCCTGAAATACTCCCCTACATTTGCTATAATGTTTCTGTCTATCTCTGGTAATAAAATTTCTTGCAGTATGTTGGGATGGAATACTTGTACCTCATCAAGAGAGTGACTGTAAATCCAGGTTTGGACATGACAGATATGGTTTAAGTTTGTTATCCCAGTAAAACTAATATCCTACAGTCATATTAATAGATTGTTGTGTTAATTTAACACTCCTTAGTTTTCACCTACTCTGGACACTAAAGGTCCTCTGCAGCTATTTTATTATTCTTGAAGTTGCAAATCTGCTTAGGAAGCCAAGACTATGAAGTTATATATAGATGGCACTCTGGTATTAGAAACTAGAAGAGATTAATATATTCACTTCATTCATTCAGAAGGCCCAGAAATCTTGCCAAAAGTTTAGCTAGGTAGTAACAACATCTAGACTAAAACCCTGTCTTTCATACAGTGCATTTCTACACCATTCTCTTATTTAAATTACCTAAGTATTCTTCTACTACAAATAAAAATTGTAGTAGGACAGTGTAGAAACAGGATTAGAGAGATAAATTTCGAAGCTACTCCAATTTTGGAGAATATAACTTCTACAGGAAGAGAATAGATTCCAAGAAAAAGAGTTGCCTATAGAAGCACACCCACAAAATTAAAATTCTCAGGAACCACACTATACAACAAGCATCAGCTTGTTCTTAATCCCCAACAAGGATTGAGATACCCAATGAAAACACCTGTAGGTTAATTTATTATACAAAACTGTTAACTACTTTTCACATGGTCATTTTCAATTAAAACTCCTGAGTCTTACCTTAATGGTTAAAAAAAAAAAAAAAAAAAAAAAAAAAACCTGTCAAAATGATTTCATAGCCAACAAAGAATTTGGGTTTTCTGATAATTCACTGAGTAAAATGTATAACTGGTAAATCTAGTAAGTAGGGAGATGAAATAACCATTAAGATTAACTAGGGCTTTTTTCTCTTAGCTAATTTTATGGACATTTTACTTTTACTTTAAGATTTTTGCTCTCTTCAGTTAGTAATAGTATAGATTTTTGCAACTATAAAGAATGATAATATAAAATTTAAAACAAAATATTAAGAAGTTTTTCTCCAAGTCACAAATTATTAATAATGATGAACATTACACTGTGTAAAAAGCTACTGAAATCAATTAACTGTAGTAGTTCCTCTGAAGAAATACTTTATATCTACAATACTATAATGCATGTCTACAATAATTACCTTACATTTACACCATACCCTTTATTTCAACTGATCTCCACAGATCTATAAACATGCCCTGTATTTCCCTATCCTACAGCTACCCTTTAATTTTAAGAAAAAGTGAAGATCTGTAATGTCTATGTTCAACTGATCATGGAGGGATGAGGACTCATGTGTAGTACCTTAATCAATAAAAAAAAATTTTCTTAAGTTCTGAAATAAATAAATAAAAGTTCAGTTGATTTACAACTTAATTTACAAAGGTTTTTTTGTGTCTTGTTTTTTACTATTTCCATTTAAACTTTCAAACAAAAATGCAGTTGCTGCAATCCAAGTACCCAAGGCCACCTGGTCTGCATTCAAGGGCAGTGACATAACCTAATTCCCTCTCAGGAGGGATATGAATGTTAGAAGACTACCATTTCCCTACTGGGCGATCCGCCCTCGTTGTCAACTATCCTACTTTTATTTCCCACCCAATCATAACTCAAAAACATGTTCAGTAGCAACCAGAGACTCATTTTTGCAGCCGACTACGTAGTTGTTTTGAAAACATTGACAATTTCCAGCTCACCCACTATTTCATAATAAAAAATAAAACACAGCCGTGCTTCCACGTACAAACCCCCTTCTGCTTCACAGCTTGTTTTAAAAAACGCCCACGAGAACTTCCCTGTAGGGCGACGACCTGCAGTAGCTACACCTGAACTCAGCCTTCCCGACCGAGTCCCTTCGCACGTGGGGACAGCAAAGCCGGCGGGGCCGCGCCCGCCCGGCGGCTCCCGGCTCCCCCGCCGGCCCGGGAGGAGCCGCGGTCCCACCTCCTGCCGCCGCCCGCGTCCAGATGTCCATTTATGTAAATGGGCCGGGTGAATGACAGACACCTTGGCACGGAACACCTCGGACTGACAGCCGGAGGCGGCCTGCCCCTCCCCCGCCCGCCCCGGTAGCTCCGCGAGCAGCCCCCCCTCACCCCCCACCCAAACACACACACACACACACACACACACACACCCCGGCGCCCACCGCGGGGGCCGCCCACCTGCTTCCAGGGATTCCAGCGGGGGCGGCGGCGGCTCCGACCCGGTGGGGGACAGGTGCTGAGGCGGCTTCTTGGTCCAAGGGTTCTCCTTCGGCGGCAGCGGCGGCGGCGGCGGCGGCGGCAGAGGCGGCTTTCCTTCGGAGCCGGCCGTCGCCTCCTCCTCCTCCTCCTCCTCCCGGGCGTCCTCGGCCGGCGGCTCCCGCGGCGGCGGCGGCGGCGGCGGCAGCGGCTCTCCGCCGAAGGGGCCCCCCGGCCCGCGCGCCCGGTGCGCCAGGTGCAGCGCCAGCGGCCTCACGGGCACGGCCGCCTGAGGCACGCTGTGGCCCAGCACCGGCGCCGGCGACGGCTCTCCCCGCGCCCCCGCGCTGGTGGCGGTGGCGGCGGCTGTGGCGGCGGCGGTGGCGGTGGCGGTGGCGGCGGCGGGGACGGCCCTCTCCTCCTTCGCCGCCTGCTTGCCCTCCTGTTCGGGCGGGGGCAGCGGCTCGGTCTGCCGGCTCAGCCCGGGCGACAGCGACTCCTTCTCAGCAGCCGCCGCCACGGCAGGCGACTCTTCCCGAGAGTGAGCCGCGGGCACCGGGGCGCGAGCGGACATGGTCCCCTTGCCCCAGCCGCCCCAGCCGCGGGAGGCCCGGGGCCAGGGAGGCCGGGGCCAGGGAGGCCGGCTGCCCGTCTCTCCGCCGGGGCACCCACTGGCTCCGGCCTGGGGCACAGAGCCCGAGAACCCGGCCGCCGTCGCCGCCGCCACCGCCGCCCGCGTCGGCCGAGGCCGTGCAGCGCCCGGGGTGCCGCCCCTCCCCGCGTCGAACGGAGCGCTAACCGCCCGTTGGCTCCGGCCGCCTCAGCGACGCACGCCCGAGCCAGCCAACCCGCGCCGGGCGCCGCGGCCGCGAGGAGCCGCGAGCCGCCGGCCGTCACCTGGCGCAGGCAGCGAGGAGCACAGCAGCCGCCGCCCGAGGACCTCTAGCGGAGTGCGGGCGGCACGCGCCCCAACAGCCGGTAACTGCTCGCGGGGCGTGAGGGGGCGGGCCGAGGGGCCGGCGGGGGCGGGGCTTCGGGGGAGCGTGACGTGGCTACTCGCCGGCCGCGGCCCTCGCCCGGCCGCCGCCCGCGGAGGCTGACGGACGTGCCCGCCCCGAGGGCCGGTCCCGCCCCAGCGGCCCGCCGAGGGGGAGGGAGGGCGAACTGGGCGACTCCCGGCTCCCGGGCTGCGGGCGCCTGGGCGGGGCGCGCACCGGGCCTCTGTGACTCGGGACGGGGCGGACCCGGTCGACGGCCGGCGGCTGGGCGGGGCGTGCTGTGCGGCGCACGTGGGACCCGGCGCTGAGGCGGAGCCGTCCCGCGGCGGGGCCCGGGGGTCTCGGGCGCCCAGCTTGGGCCGCTCCCCAAAGGGCAGGTGCCCCGGACCCGGCCGCGCTGTCCCGACGGGAATCGCCTCCCCGCCAACGTGAGAACAAGTGCCCCGACCCCTGCCTCCCCGGCGCTTGGGGCACCGCGGGCACCGGCAATCGTAAGCCTCGTCCGAAATGAAAACTGTACCATCTGTAGGCGCTGAGAAACCTTTGCCCAGGCGGTTAGCTCAGTGCGCTTCCCCGCCCCAAGCCCAACCCACAAAATGGAAAGGGCTCTTGAGTGGAAACAAAGTATCTTTTCTTAAAAAACACTTACAAATTTAATGCTGTCCCAAATGTTTTCTCCCAGGACACGTTTTGATTTTTAAAAATCCGGTAAGACCTTCCTAATTTCCACTGAAATCAACGAGCGATGACATTGGTTTCACGTGAAGTGCATTCCTGAGTTAAGACCGTTCACGTTCGGGGTGCGAGGTTGCTGGAAAAGGGCTCCGCTCCCGGGCTGTCAAACTAGACAGACGATTTGCACCTGCGGGAGTCGCACTTCGTAAAGCTAATCAGCTATGCCTATGCGAATATTACAACAGCTATAAATAAAGCCTTTCATATATAACTAGTGCCCAATTTATCTGACCTAAGCAATCTCCTAAATCCGTTTCTAGTTCAAGAGGGATGTTATTTGCACCCACAGTCCCAGAGGGGTGCCCTCTACTAGCCCCTTTATTGGTGAAGCTTTTGTGTTTTTAACTAGAAACCAGCTGCTTCTCCTCCTAATCAGCCTTTAGGAGTCCTGCTAGTTAATGCCTGACTTTTTTTCCCCAAAAGCCTATCAACACATTCACACTTGATGAGGCTCAGAGAACACAATTATATTTTACCTGTAGCTATTTAACTATCGCTGCTTAGCGATGGAGACATGAGAAACGTGTCATTAGCAATTTCTTCATTTTATGAACATAGAGTGTGCTTACACACCTAAGCTGTATGGTATAGTGTGTATTGTTAAGAATACACTCTAAATAAAGTACAATATAGTAAATACATAAACCGGTAATATCGTCATTTATTATCAAGTATTATGTCTTGCATACATAATTGTATCTGCTACTGGCAGTGCAAGTGGGTTTGTTTACACCAGCGTGACAACAAACACGAAATGTGTTGCACTATGGCATTACGATGGCTAGGAATGTTTCAGTTCCATTATAATCTTATGGGGCTACCTTCATATATATCATTCACAGAAACATTGTTAGGAGGTGCATGGCTACATATATGGGTTTAAGCGTTTCCTAAAAGGTAAGGTGACCAGACGTCCCTGGCGGGACAGTCCCGATTTTTAACAATCTTTCCAAACATCGGATTTTTTAAAACGCCGCGGGACGCGGGACAAATTGTTAGAAATCGTGGCTGTCAGCCCAAAGTGGGAGGTCTGGTCACCTTAGTTCAAGGTTGATTCAGTTGAGAAAAATGTTATGTGGGCCCGGAGGGCATGGCTGGGAGGGGGGGGGGGGGAGGAATAGGTTAACCAAAAAAATGGGCCAGGCCATCATTTTTAAAGGAGGATTTTTATCATGTAGATTGCCTTTTCCTTCTATGGAGATTACCTCATAGGAATTGACCAGAAAATCCCAAACAGGTTGATTAAGATTGTGTTTCTGGTCCAGTTTGAAACTGCAAGTAGATCAGATTTTTTAAAAATATGTTTTTGTTGCTTTCAAAGAGGAAGAGAGAAGGAGAAATAGAAACATCAATGATGAGAAATCATGGATCGGCTGCCTCCTGCATGCCCCACATGGGGATTGAGCCCACAACCTGGGCATATACCCTGACCAGGAATTGAACCATGACCTCCTGGTCTATGCTCTATTTATTCTTAACCACTGAGCAACACAGCGGGGCAGATCAAATATTTAATCTAGGCTTGGTATCATGAGATTTTAGCAAAAGTGACACCATTTTGAGACTGTGGTTTTTCACTTTAACAGTAGTTTTCCTCTTTATTATTAAAGTGAAAAACATAAAGGTTGAAGAAACACAGGAGGAAATAGTTGTGCTTGGAGAGGGACACAAACTGGAGGGTAAATATGTTCCCAAGGGGTCTGTCTATAAAGAGCTCAGCAGTAGGTATTTGGGATCTTCACTGTAGGGCAATGCCTATAATGCCAGTCAAGGAATTTGGCTACTTGGTCTTTTAAACACAGACAGCTGCTTCTCGGAAACAACCTCACCAGTCTTCTATTTGCTCCTCCATATCTGCTCTCCACCATTTCCCTCCTTTTGTGTCAGGGAAGGCTGACCTGTTAGATTGTAATAGATCCCTGACCCTCCTTTGTATCTTCCATGGGTTCAGGCAGTGGGAAGTATATGCAGGTGATTAGAGGCCAGAATATAAGTCATAGTTCTTATTACCCACAAGTTATTATCCATCCTATGGATTATTTCCCTTGGATAGGGTCATCGTTTAGCCTGGAGAAACAAGTTATTTGGTTTAAAACACTGTCATCAAGGAAATGGGAATGGAATAGCCAGGAATCAGTAGGACTGTGACAACTCTGACTGGTTTGGCTCAGTGGATAGGGCATTGGCCTGCAGACTGAAGGGTCTCTGGTTCAATTCCAGTCAAGGGCATGTACCTTGGTTGCATGCACATACCCAGAAGGGAGTGTGCAAGAGGCAGTTGATCAATGTTTCTCTCTCATCGATGTTTCTGACTCTCTTTCCTCCCTTCCTCTATGTAAAAAAATCAATAAAACATATTAAAAAAAAAAATAGGACTGTGAGAAAGCGGCATCCTTTAACCAGATTTTCTTCTCTTTTCCCAATTGTTAGAAACAAACAAGGTAAAAAAAAAAAAAAAATACAAACAAGGTGGTATCACTTGCCCCACCCCCACCTCACAACAAACGTAAATTTAATTGTTTCCAGCCCCTCCCAGGAATGTGACCTTAAGCCATCTGGTTTACCTACTTTAGTGAGGAAATCTGCTCCCGAAAGACCCCACCTTTTTCAACACAATTAGATCTTTGGTGGGATTTGAAGGAAAGTTCTGATAGCATTTGGGGGCAGCAAAAAACAGGTGTGGTGCCCAGGAACTTTTTTGAATTCTCTTGTCTTGCTGTTTCTGAAGGCCATTGGTGTTCTGAATTCCTGCTGTTTGCACTGAGCTCTTGATCTAAGATTAGGTCAGTTTGAGCTCCCAGTTTAGTTCCCCAGTTGTTTGAAATTCCTTTCTCCCAGTGCCAGTCTGAAGCCCTCATTCACTGGAGGTTACTGGTTTAGTCCTTTGCCCATTCCAGTTTGTACAATAGTTCCCATTGACTGGGGTTTGCTGGCTTAGTCCTTCCCCAGTTCTAGTCTGCAGTCCCTAAGCACAGCGTTCGGCTGGTGTAACCCACACTGGGAAAGGCTGATAGTGTGCACAGCCTTCTATTAGTCAGTCCATAGTAAGATTTCTTTGGTTACTGCTGGTTTGTTAAAGTTCACGTTTGTCTGTTTTGTTGTGTTTAGAATAAAGGCTAGTATACCATCTTCCATGTTGAGAATTGTTGGTAATTACCGTATTTTTCGGACCATAAGACGCACTTTTTTCCCCCCAGAAGTGGGGGGGGGGGGAGTCCCTGCGTCTTATGGTCCAAATATAGCCTACACATATACTTTAAAAAAAAAGTTTTTTTACTTGCCCGGCTCTGTGTGGTCTCTGTGTGCTTGCCGGGCTCTAACATGGTTCTAAATGCTGCTGTTTACTTTACAGGGTTGATTACATGTGTTTATGACTGTGATGTTGGGTTTTAATGCACATAAAATATTTTAGGACACTATTTGTTTCAGAATCTTTTTTTCTTCATTTCCCTTCTCTAAAAACTGGTGCATCTTATGGTCCGGAGCGTCTTATGGTCCAAAAAATACGGTAGTTAGGTTTGAGCAGATAATTGAATCACACCTCCTCTTGGGAACTGACCTTTAAGTCACTTCACAACTGACAATCCCTTTCCTTAGACCAAATTCCATTTCGATAAGACCACATTCCACTTGCTAAGACCATCACCCTTCCCCTCAGGACCTTGTTTGGATTCACACCTGCCCAAAGAATGCTCCACCCAGGAAAACCATCTAGAGTCCTTTAAAATCTCCGACTGCCTGTCCTTGGGTGCTGGCGCCATTTAGGAGCTCAGCTCATCTGGTATCCAGATGACCTAATAAATTTATAATCCCTTACCACTTCGGCCTCCTGCATCCCTCCTTCAGTGACCCTAACAGTTGCCACCTGGCTTTAGATTGAGTCCAACTTGTAAACTGGACTGGTTTCGTGATCAGATGTAGTCCAGTGGGAGGCCTCAGAGAAATAAAAATTTCTTTTAAATAAGGTTAGTTTCTAATGGGGGATCTCGGAAATTAAAAAAAAAAAAAAGCTGCGAACACTGGTGAGCATAGGTTGAGCATTTAAAGGATGTTAGAGCTCTCTTTACCTCAAGAACACTCCCATGATAGGTTTTAGGTACTGTGTTTCCCCGAAAATAAGACATCCTCTGAAAATAAGACCTACTTACAGGTTTCCTTCTGAGTGAAATATAAGGCATCCCCAAAAAATAAGGTCCCCCTAGGCCAAACATGAGAGATTTGGTCCACTGATTTTGAAAGAAATGG